GACAAAACAACGGTGGGAAGGATGATGAAAGGTGGCCTTGTGAGACGAAATGACAATCCATATTCTTTGAAGATTTCAAAAGATTACCGCCAATGTCCATAGCAGCAGCTGTTAAATGGTTGAATCACCCACCCTGGTTCGAGAGATGCCAATATGTGGTGGTGGGTTCGAGGAATTTTCTCCTTCCCTCCATCCCATGGCCGTCCTCTTCTTAGCTCTTGCAATTAAGCAGACCGGCCGCCGCTAAGCGCCCTGGAAGTAGTAATAAATGGGTCACTGCGGTGACCAACCCCAAGTGCCGATGCCTTCTGGGTTGGCCGTTCGAGCCTGCCTCTCGAACCCCTAGAGTCCTAGACTAACTGGTACTCAGTCTAGCTTGCAGTGACTGATTGACTAAACTCAACACCCAACTAGTTAACTGACCCCGACTTAAACTGAACCGTTTGGCTCCCCCGAGACTGCCCACCGCCAGCCGCTGGAGCTTACTGAGTAGAAGGGGTGGTTGTGCAGTTTGGCCCGGTCTGGTCGTGCAGCTTATTATTGGATAGCACTGCCGGTCAGTCAGGCGGGCGGCAGGCACTGCAAGTGAATCAAATTTACTGTCCAGGTTAGTCGTACTTCATTCACTCTTACTGCTATGGCCAAGGGACCTTGGAGTATCATTCCCAGCTTGGGGAAAGATGGTGGTGGTGGTGCTGGGGGGGGGGGGGAGTTGGCAGGTCAAAGATCGATTTGTTTATTGAACAGTAACCCTACCCTCATTGAAACCTCGACATTGGTCCCAATGCGGGTGTCGGCGAGAGATAGGTAATATTTCCTGAAATTAAAAACGGTAAGTCAGAGGATCACAGGATTAATTCTACTGCACCTCCTCATCTCATTCTCCTCTTCATCATCATTAATTCATACTAGACAGGAAAAGGCCCTTACCCTCGTTCCAGTCTTTTTTTCGGTGCCGACGGTCGAAAGAGGGCCCCTACCCATGGATATGGGTATTCTCTTACTGTTCTAGCCTCTGTCTTAGCCTGCCCAGTGACTCCAGTGTTACGGTGAAGAGAGGGAAAAAAAGGAATTTCTGAATTTTTTCCTTTTCTTTCTCATTCATTCCCATCCATTCTGACTAACCTTTTCTCTCCTCTTGCAAAGGTTCATTCCCTTCCCCCCCTTAAAACACCAACAGACCAACCAACCAGAACAACGATGGGGGCTTGATGGAGCACGAACGGGACATTCGTCAACTCTCCGACTAAGATTATTCCTGGCTTTAGTCTCCTAGTCTCCCCCATCATAGCCATTGAAATTTCTGAAAACTCTAAACGATCACCCCATGTGAAGCATTAGTCAAGTTAGTTAAGTTAGTTTAATGGAGATGATTCGAGTCGCATCTGCTCGGATGCTGCGGCTGGTCTCTTATTAATGGTTTGACTTTTATGGGGGTCTACGTACTGAGTTTGGAGACTGGGGATTTCTGGCGGGCGATGATGCGCTACTGTTGATGAGAAAGGGCCATCCATTGTTAAGGAATCCGAACCCCTACGGAGAATCCCTACGGACTTTTTAGGGGCAGGATGTGGTACCGGTTGGTCATATATGGATTCTGGATGGCCCACCATTACTGTTGGTTTCAGTAATTAGATTCATGTCTTTTGATGGCAGTAAGGTATCCCGATTGCAATCATGTTGAAGACTATCAAAAATTATCATCAGGTTCGATTTAGCTGCCGCCGCCGCTGCTGCTGCTGCTGCTGCTGCTGCTGCCTGAGGGGACAACTTGTAGCAGAAAACAACTGAGCAGTAGAAAAACCACTTATCTAATACAATGGGCAAAGATGATTGAATGAACCATCGGTAAAATCCCCACCAGAGGCGGAATCACATTGGCTTACGACTCTCTTACCATACCAAGCCCCTTCTGTCTCCCTTTCCCGTTTCACTCACCTTTACCCACTGCCCTCTCTCTCTTTCTTACTGTCTGTGAGAGGAAAGGGTAACTAATTTGATCAACTGAATGGAAAAATAAAAAATAAAAATAAATCTCAGAGGGAAAAAAAGAAAGAGGTTAGTCAGTACAAGGCCAGTTGAGCCGGGGATCGTCACTTTCTCAGTGACTTTTCCACCCTCCCAGACTCGCCGTGCCCCCAAACGACCACCACCGCCGCCGCCTCTGACACCTCTTGACCCTCTTGACCACTACTAACGAGCCTAGCCTACCCAGCCTAGTCCCAGTCATTTGCTTTGCTCTTCTTTTCTCCCTCGTTCTCCGCTGCTGCTGCTGCTGCTTTTTTTTTTTTTTTTTTTTTTTACACGTCTGTATTCGCGCACTCTCTCTCTCTTGCTCTCTTGGTCCTTCTTCTCTCTCTCTCTCTCCTCTCTCCTCTTCCTACTTCCCCCCATCCCTCCTCCCCTCTCCTTTGACTCTTCTCCTCATCCCTCCTCCTCCTTTTTTCCTTCTCTTCTCTTTACATCATCCAACCTATATTCTCCTCTTCCCTCCCTCCTCTTTTTGTCCACTTTGCGAAATTCTCCATTTCCTCCTACCTCATATTTCAACGAGCTTTTCACTAAGTATCGTTGTCACCGTGGACTGGGACCACTCCCTTTGACGCGAGAACTGGTGTTTGTCGTTCATATTTTCTTTTCGAAAAAGCGCAAAAACACTTCAAAAAGATCTCCACCGTCCCCTTCCCCATCCGCACCCCTAACACATCCCTTGACCCCATCGGTTATTCGTTCTACTCGTTCGGCTACAAAAAAGAA